GTCCCGGCCCAGCTGGCCCTCTGTCTGTTGTCCCGTGGGCCGTGCGGGGAAGGGTTTTTGGTGGCTCATGAGTGCCGGTGTTGGGCTGGAAATAGTGAATAATCCCCCTGCTGTCACTCCCCCGCCGCTCTCTGGCATCGCCGAGATGTGGGGGGGCGGGTGCTGGGAGGGGGGCGGCTTCAGGATGAGGCTCCCCGGGGATGGATCACCCGCCGCTGGTGGCTTTTTTTCCCGGTGGGATAACGGGATCCCCTTGCTGTGGAAGGAGGGGTGCGTTAGGGTGTCGCCGGGGTGCTGGCGGATGAGGCACGAGGGGTTATGTGTGATGTGCACTCAGAGGATTTCACGTGGTTACGGTGTTGCTTTCTGGGCTAAACCCCCCTCTTTTCCTCCCAAAAAGCAGCAGCAATCTGCTCGCAGCGTGAAGGGCAGGACCCCACCACCTTCCCCTGTTTGTTCCACAGGGTCTGAGTACAAAGACCTCTTCTCCTGCTTGTCCCGAGGTGTTTGAGCACAGAGACTCCTCCTGCTAGTCCCAGGAATTGGCATGAGGGCAGCGAGGACCCTGGTGGCCCGTGGGCTGTTGGGTGCTCTGCTCTCCTGACCCCTCCTTTAGCTCCCCCCTCCCGTTTGTCCCACAGCCCGAGCCCCCGTGCGACACGTGGCACAGCAGATCCCCGAGGAGATCCTTGGAAACTCGGAGCTGCAGGAGGCAGTGAAGGCCCTGCCCCCAAACTACAACTTCGAGATCCCCAAGACCATCTGGCGGATCCGGCAGGCTCAGGCCAGGAAGGGTGAGCGCTGACCCCGGGGGATGAGAGGTTTTGGGGATGGTTGGTGCCACTGGGACCCCCCCCCTGGGGTGGATGAGGCTGGGGCAGAGGATGTTCCGAGCTGTCTGGAGTGCCCTGGCTTGTTTAGGCTCTGTCTTGGCGAGCTCCCCTTCCCTCGAGGGGGGTTAATAGATCTGTATCTCTGGATTAAAATCACATTGGACAGGACAGGTTGAGCTGTTCGGACCTGTCAGCCTGGAGATGTGTCTGGGATGCTGGCCAGGTCCCTGCTGTGCTCCTCTCTCCTCTCCCAGTGCTTTCCTGACATGCTGCCGGGGCTGGGAAGGGGGAGCCCTGCAAGGCTGGGCACTCGTGGAACTGGTGGGAAGCTCTGGTCTGAACCTTCCTTGGGGTCCTCAGGGGGTTGTGCAGCCCCAGAGAGGTGGGGAGTGGCACTGGTGGCCTCAGGGGTGATGCCAAGGCTTTCCCTCGTGGCCTGTGCATCCCACTAAAGCAGTGTGTGACCAGCTACAGGCATCAGACAGGGAGCCTCTCCCTCCACCCCTGGATGTCACCAGCATCCCCACCCTCCCTTCAAATGCTCCTGGGGTTGTGTAGCTCCAGGGGCTCTGGGCAGAGCCAGGTTGAAATGCTGTATCCACCTGGGAATGTCTCTGCCAGCTGGCACTGAGCTGGCAGGGCTGGCAGGCGTCACGGGGGATGTTCTGGGAGCTGAGCTGGTCCCGGCTGTGATGCCGGAGGGGGGGCTGCCCGGCCCATCCCAGCTGTGGTGCGGGAGGCAGGGCTGGATTTGTCCCACCAGGACACGGCGAGGCAACCCAGCCATGCCGCTCTGGCTTTCCTCTGCTGTGTTTTGCTGCTTGGCACCTCCTAATTAAATGTAAATATGCGGCTGGGATTTAGGCTTCCGAGCTGGGAGCGGAGCCCATCAGCCAGCCAGCCGTGCTGGGATTTAAAAATCCGCCTGTGCAGAGCCCAGCCAGGGGCTCGTTGCTGGGGGAACGCAGCCTCCCACTGGGCTGAGCCGGCCCTGCCTGTGCCCTGCCTGCAGCGGGGTTTGGGGGGGGCTGGGGTGGCACCCCCTGTCCCCATCGTGCTGTGCCGGTGCAGAGTGACCCAGCCACCTCCTGCCAACCCCTCGTGGGGGAAGGCAAAGCTATTTGTAGGTCTGAGGTGGAGGGCAGTCCCAAATGAGCCAAAATGTTCCCAAATGGGCAAAAATGGTCCCAAATGGGCTGGGGGATTCTGGGCCCCTGAGTTCTTGGCTCTGCCAGGCCAGGCGGGGGCTGGCAGAGCACACGCAGCTTTCCTTGGGCCCTGTTGGTTGGAACAGGGTGGGATTAGCCCAGTTTGAGCCAGGTCTTTACACAGCTCCACACTGGCCAGCAGGCTGGGCCTGGCAGCATGGGGATTTTGTTGAAGGAGCATCTGGAGAGAATGTTTGGATAGATATCACTGAAGCTGGGATATCTGAGCGGGATGGGAGGTGAAACAACAATGGGATTAATGGGGCCTCCTCCATTCATCTCCCCCAGCACGGTCCCTCCTCCTCCCCACCACCCCGTGGAGGGCTCCTGGCTGGACCCCAGGCACTGGGAGGCCCAGCTGGTCTTTGGAAGGGATTGTTCTGAGCTGCGAGGAGGGAGTAAACCAGGAACATCATTTGTTGTTGGATAAATTCCTGCTAAGCACAATGCTGCATCGTCGCTGGCCACCCTGCTGAAATGGGGAGAGGAGCAGGAAGGGGAGGTGTGGAGAAGGGCAGCAAGGATGATCAAAGGTTTGGAACAGCTTCTGTATAAGGAGAGATTAAATAGATTTAGATCCTTTAGCTGGAAAAAGAGGTGAACGAATGGGGATATGATAGGGATGTAGAATTGTGAATGATGTGGAGAGGCTGAACAGGGGATGATTATTCACTCATTCTTGTACCGGGAGAACCAGGGGCACACGTTTACATTATTAGGAGCAGGTTTAAAATAAACAGAAGAAAGTACCTTTTCCTGTGCAGCACATAATTAAAATCTGGAACTCATTACTGCGGGAAGCGGGAGAGACCAGCAGTGTCAGCGGGTTCAGAGAGGGATGAGGTGTGTACTCAGGGGCCGTGAGCAGGGAGAGTGGATATGGCCTAAAGCAGGACAATGTGCACCCCGGCTGTCCAAGCCACTGGAACTTCTGGCCAGTTTCTGGCTGTTTTGGGGAGGGTGGTTCTGTGGCTGCTGCTCGAGCTGAGTGTGTTCACCCTGGAGCTGGTGCCCAGGCCCCCACTTCAGGATGTCCCTTCCAGCCCCTCTTAACCCCAGATCTGTTTGTCTTCCCAGTGGCCCTGCAGATGCCAGAAGGGCTCCTCATGTTCGCCTGCACCATCGCGGACATCATTGAGCGGTAAGACCATGGCTTTTCCATGCTTCCCTGCTGGACTCTGGGGGCTGGCGAGGGGGTGGGAGCTGTTGCTGGGAGTGGGGTGACCGCTGGGTAGGATGAGGCCCAGGATTATGGACAAGGGAGTGTGGAGGGCCCCAGTGTGGCTGCACTCACGGGGCCGTACCCTGACTGGGCAGTGCTGCTGCCCTGCGGCAGGTCACAGGGACCTGCTGCCAGCCCTGGGGACAGGGACCGGCACAGCGCCAGCCCAGCCCTCACCACTCGGCTTCTCCTCCCCTCGCTGCTGTGCTGGGAGCTGCTGACAGGCTCGGTATGTCAGGGCCCCGTGGGGGTGCTGGAGCTGGGGAGCAGCCGTGTCAACAACCGGCTGACGCCAGCCCGGTGCCCGCACTCGCCACGGCAGAACTGCCACAGCCAGGGGAGGGCTGGCAGCGGGGCCACCACTGCAGCACTGATCTGTCCTCCTCGTCCTGTCTCTGCAGTCATGCTGCCCGGCACGGAGAAGCTCAGGGGTAGCCTTTTTTTGGCTGGGGAGGCTTCTTGAGGCCATGGTGATGGCACAGGAGGGGTCACTGCAAGCGACTCCTGCTGGGCAACACCTTCCCCACAGCTCCTCTCTGAATTTTTCAGTGTTGCTTGGGGCCGAGGTTGAGGCTCTCCTCCCGGAGAGGAGCTGGGCTGTGCAGTGACAGTGGATGCAGGCACCTTGCAGAAATTGGCCGTGATCTCTTTATCACCCGAGCGTCTCTCTCTTCCTCCCTACCCGCCCCCGGCCCCCTGTCCAGCCCCTCTCTGCTTTAGCACAGTGAATTAGTGCTAATAGCACCGTGTGCCTCGTCTGCCATGGGGGTCGTGGCACTCATTAGCAGCTGCCTTCCCTGGGCCAGCAGGCTCAGCCTCCCTGCCGCCAGGAGCTGAGCAGCCGCTGCCGTGCCGGGTGGGAAGGCGGCCGTGCACGCGGGCTTTGCCCCCGCTTTGCCATCATTTCCCCCGCGGGAACGCGGCAGCCCCAGCTCGGTGGGAAGGTGGGCGTGGGCAGGGGACGGGTGTGGGGGGCAGGGGATGGGTGTGAGTGTGGGCAGCTCCGCGTGGGTTTGTCCCTTTAAGTGGAGCTGCCTCCTCTCCGGCTTTGGCACCCAGCCGCTTTCATGTCTCCGACTTCAAAGGCAGCGGATTAAGGGGCTCTTTTATCTGAATGAAACCTTAAGCCTCACTTCCCGGTGGATGGTGAATTCCAGGGTGCTGAATGCCAGGGTGCCGGTGGATTCTGGGGTGCTGGCATCCCTGCTGGTCCCACCCTCCCTGCCAGGGGTGCTCCGCAGGGCTGAGGAGGGATGCTGGGTGCCAGGGTGAGGGGTGCTGGTGGGAGATGGGTGCTGTGTGGGTGGGGGTGCCCAGCCAAGGGAGGGGATGTGGCAGCACTGATGGAATGGTGGTTGGATGGGGGATAGCCTCGAGGCTGTGTAGGGGGGCTGTATCCTTCCCTCTATGCCACCATGCAGCACTCAGAGACGCCCCCATTGCTGGTCCCTTGCTGAGAGCACTGGGTACCATCCAGGATTCTGGCTGGGGATGTGGCCATGCTGGGTATCAGCACTGCCAGCTGGAGGATTGTGGCTGTGGGCAGGAGTGAGCCCAGCCCTGTCCCTGCTCTCTTGGGGACACACTTGGGACCCAGTTCCACTGCCGGAGGTGAGTCGGCAGGTGGCCTCGTTAGTGCCTGCCTCTTCCTGCTATTAATATTCATCGCCAGCATTAATGTGGAATTGCAGCTCGGCCCGCTGCTCCTGCTGGCCCTCCTCACCCGGCACTGGGGCCGGACGAGCCTCCGACGTGACGGGAATTACTGCAGCCATGTGCTCTGGTGGTGGCTGCCGTGGCCAGCCTGGGCACGTGGGCTCAGGGTACCATCAGCCCTGGGCTGGCGTGTCCACTTCCCTCTGGTGACAGACAGAATGCGAGGGCTGAGCATGCTGGGGATACCTGTGCCCGCATTGGGGGCGTTGCTCAGTGAGCAGCTCTTCTCCCCAGCCCATCCCCACAGCCTCCTGCCCCATCCTTGCTGGTGGGAATTGGGGTTTGGGGATGCCAGCGAGCTCCCCCTCCCTCTGTGCGCTCTGCTGATGGCTGCAGAGCCATGCCCGGGGCTGGTGCCCCTGGGGTGACAATGCCCAACCTCTTGTGTTCCAGCTCAGCCAGAGCCGTGTCAGCTGCCGCTCAGATGGAATATTTATCCCTTCTGCCAGAGCTGCCTTTTAATACAATATTTGTGCCGTGACCTGGCGATGCTGGGGAGAGCCGAGAGCAGGGACGTGGCTCACGGTGCTGCGGCATGGATGGCTAAGGGAGGACACAGTCCTCCATCTGTCCCCATGCAGGAGGATGGCAGTGTCACTGCATCCCTCACTGCAATGTAGGAGCGAAAAGGCCCCTATGGAGCCCTGGTGGGGCAAGGAGAGGAGAGGGCTGCCAGGTGGGGCCTGGCTGGGCTTCCCAGCATTGCACTGGCGCTTGCTGAGCCCCAAGGGGCTACAGGGATGAAGATGTAGCCAAACTGTCACAGCCGCTGCCGCCGGGAAGGCCAGTGGGGTTCTTAGCCTGGAGCCTTTGAAATCGAGAGTGCACTTGGAGCATTGACCGGTGTGAGGCCCAGTTAATTAGTGTTAATAGGTTTGTCATTGTCAAAGCTGTGCCGGGGCGAGCGGCCAGCTGGGGGGGGGCGGCAGGGCTGGGGTCTGCCGCGCTGCCGGCACCGCATCACGACGCTCTCGCGGCACCTTCCAAATTGGCTCCATTTGTCACGGCTGATGTAATTCGGCAGAGGGTAACTCGTGCTGGGGGGCGGCAGCATGGAGAGCCGCGTGGGGGGATCTCGGACCGCGGCTCAGGGAGGGGAGAGCCCCCAGCCCACCCGCTGTCGTGCCGTGCCGGGGAGGCGGCAGCCGTGCCCCCCGCACCACCGGCTTGTAGCAGGGGGGTTGTGTAGCCGGGAGCGGACGCCTGCTCCCCTCCCTGCTGGGGCTGGAGCAGACGGATCAGCTGGGCTCTCAGCTGGGCTTTTGATTCCGTGTTAATAAAGTCGGCTGTCAGGCTTTGCAGCTGCTAATCCCTCTGTCTGTGTGCCACGATGGTGAGAGTGGTTCCTGCTAATCAGCCATGGCTTGGTGGCAGGGAAGGGTGATGGGAAGACGGGCCAGGGATGTCCTGGTGCCTGCACAGGCTGCTCTGCCACAGCCTTAAAACCTCCCAAATCCTGATGGCTTTTGAGCATCCGCGTGAGGTGGTGCTGGAGGGGTGCAGACCATCTTGGTGACTGTGCCTTGATGTGCCCAGGAGTGCATGGGGATTTTTCAAAGTGACGGGGGGTCTTGAATCATCTCTGGTTGGGCAGTAAAGAGTTAAACATCTGTGCACATGGCCCAGCAGCTGTGGCAGAACTTGAAATGCCCCACTTTGGCCAGGACAAAAAGCCCCTGATAGCTGCTGTGCCTGGCAGTCCCCGGTGCCATGGCTGATGTGCCCAGCAGGTTCCAGTGCCATGCAGTCACCGAGTCCCCTGGCGACCAGGTCAGCCATGTGGCATTGAGTGCTGTGGCAAAGCTGGCAGCATGACCAGGAGGTCCCAAAGTACCATCCTGGGACACTGAGAGGTCAGGATCCGGCCTCAGCTGCACAGTGCTGCAGCTCTGCTGGCCAGTGCTGCCTTCTCTTCTCCCCTTGTCCTTTAAGCACAACCTGGAGACACTGGCAGAGTGGTGCACGCTGTGCAGGGGAATTTAATCACCATCATTAACCACACAACAACATCATTAGGAAGAATGAAGTTCACACTTCATTGGACATGTTTAAAACCTTCTACCCGGGTGGTGACTGCACGAGGGGAACTGGGCAGGGGAAAATATGTGGGATCTATAGGGCTGGCACCTCCCAGGGCTGGGGTGTGCCAGTGCAGGTGTGGTGCCCACCACTACATGCTCTGTGCCACCTCCTTGTATCCTAGAGGGCTCTGTGGCCTGGCCATGGTGAAGAGGGAACAGGCACCATATAGGTGCAGAACGCACCTGGTGGCTTTGCCACCACCATGCATTGGCCCTTGGTTTGCCTTACTGTGGGGGTTTTTGCAGTTACAGGGCCAACAAAGCTGGAATACTCTGGGACATGTCCCTTGTGATGGTGGTGTCGGCTCTGGCACCACCAGTGAGGACAGAGAGGGAGGTCCCTTGAGGGGAGGGGACCCAGCCAGAGATGGCTGCTCCTGGGGGGCTGCAGGGACACCCACCTCTCCCCCTCCTGACCCACTTGCAGAGGCTCAGCAGGGTCCTGTGATTGCCCAGCTGCAGCAGGGCTCTTCCAGCGCCGATTGCAATAAAATTGCAAACTCATTACTTTAATTACGTGCAGCCTTCCTGTACTAATGAAGTTGGGAGTGTGGTAATGGGGCTTGGTGATGGGCTTCTCCGCTAATTAAGTGCATTGTTCTCGGCCAGGGCTGCAATCAGCCCCCACAGCCCAGGACAGCAGCATCCACGGTTGTCCTGGGACAGGCTGGGCTGGGGTGCAGGGCAGGCAGTGGGTGTGTGTTTTGTGGGGTGCTCGTGGGTCTGAAGCAAGGAGCGGTCTGCTCCATGTCTCTGTTCCCAGCAGGACATGCAGGCACTCCGGCATCGCAGTGCTGGTTCCACGACCAGTCACTCTCAACCTGGTCCCCTGAATCCCCTCCCCACCAAGGCCTGGTGGGGCCAGGCATGATGGACAAGCTGGGGCTGAGGACTCCTCCCTGCTGGGGAGAGTGGCTCTGCTTCATGGCTCGAGGACCAGCACTGTATCATTCACACACTGCCAGGGGACCTCCCGCTCCTGCCAGCAGCAAACACTCTCATTCATCTGTCAAGGGGCCGGGATAAATCAGGACTGCTCCGGCCAACTGCCTGTGCTCAGGTGACAGAGTCTGGCCACCCCATGCTTGGGGACATGAGGGCCTCATGTGTACCTGTCTCTGACCCAGCATTTTCAACCCCCAAACTTGTCCCTGGGTCACTGTCACCTCCATCCTGTGCTGCCCAGGGGAGAGTGGGGCTGGGTGGGGCTGGGGGTCCCAGTGCCTGGGGTCAGGGCCGGGACCTGGCCTGCCCGGGCACACATCCTGCCAGTGCTGAGCATGGCGCTTTATAAATGGGATTTTGGGAGCCATCTGTTTAAAGAAGGAGATAATGAATTAGAGGAAGATGAGAAAAATGCTAAGGCCAGGCAGTTTTTCAGAATGAGCCCGGGTTTGCGGGACGTAAAAGATGAATAACCTCCCCACGTGTTCAATATTCATGAGCTCCCAGCTGTAGTGAGCGTCTCTGCGCTGGGTGGGGACATCCCCGTCACCGCGTCCTCCCTGGCAGCGCGCTGCTGGGACCCATCCGCGGCTGCGATGACTTCCAGGGACACAAAACACCAGCAAGGACGCTCCCATGGCTGCTCCTTGCCCGAATCCTGGTCCTGTCTGGTTGGTGAGCAGCTCCCCAGCCTGTGTCAGAGGCAGGTGGCTGCTAATTGACATTTCCTTCCTCTGTAGTTTGATGAAAGACTCTGGCGACACCGAACTGATTAAAACATCAAGGGGAGGCCCTCACGCCTGCCTTTGATTTGTCTCGGGAGATGATTATTGCTCCGCTCCACCATCCAGCCCAGCCAGAGCCAGTGATCCCGATGCGTGCTGTGGCATCCAGGTGCCCCTCCTGTGGCATCACCAGGCTCCTGCCGCTCTTCCAGCCTTGCCAGCTGCAGTGGCAGCACTACTGAGTTCCCTCCTCACCAGCCATCATCCCGCAGCATCTTTGCTCAGCTGTGGCTCCTCTCCTGAAAGCCAGAGCAGGAATGTTCCCCATGTCTGGGGCAGGGCTCAGCCCTGGCTCTCCATGCCTGTGGGCCAGTGGCCATGTACCTCCTGGCTGCAGCCCTGCGTGCTGGGCAGGGGCCACGGGCACCTCTGCCCTCCTTCCTCCACCGCTGCTATTTCACTTTCTTTCTCTTCACCCCCAGGGACTTTCTCTGGGGTTTGGGCCAATTTGCATACATTTTAATCTATAAAAAATTAAGCGGCGCTGGCTGCCGCTCTGAGTCAGACCTCCCCGTCCTGAATCTTAAGGAGCTGAATAATTTTCCACTTTTGCTGAGATGTGTGGAGTCTGATTCATGTTCATCTCATCACCTCTCATTAGAGGAGGGGGCTGAGGGCTTGAGAGGGTGGGAAGAGCCTTCTCGAACCTTCACTGGCAGCCCCCAGCCCCACGGTGTGGCCATGCAGGCAGTGGAGGAACCATCCGCCCATGTGGGCCACACTGGCAGCGAGGGATCGTGGGATTTGGGAGCTGGCAGGATTGGTCTGTCTTCTGACGCTCCCCAGCTGCATCCCCAACCCTTGGAAAACTACATGGAATGGGAGATACCCAGGCTGGATGCAGGAGGTGAGGATGGCTTTGCCCCCTCTCCGGGGATGTTCCAGCAGAGCTACTCCCCTGTCCCCGTCCCCGGGTGGTGACAGATAGGCCGGAGCTGTTAATATTCAGCACGCTCCACCATTTCTCCACCTTCTGCCATCTGCCCAGCTCTGCCCACCATTTCTATTCTTGCTGCCGACGTAACGCTCCCTGCCTGGCGCCTGGGGGGAGTGCAGGACCCTGGCCCCCAGCCAGCGCTGGGTGCTGCTGGGGGGTGACACTGTACCAGGGCCCCCTCCTCCCCCGGCCCCCTTTGCCCCAGCCCCGTGCCAGCAGCAGGGGGGACCCCGCTGGCACCGAGCTACAGCTGCTGGTGCGGCCTGGAGTAAATAAGGAATTAGCATCTGGTTTAAGCAGCCCCTCCAGGCACGGGGCTTTGTCATTGCAATACCTGCTCTCCTCCGTAAGCTACCACGGCAGCTCCCTGGGATGGCAGCCAAGCTAATAATCCCCCGAAATGGTGCAATAAAATACCCACAAAGGAAGTGCCTTTGAATCATGCCAGAGCCCTGGCTTTGCTGCTCGGTGCTGGTGTGTGCCCCTCTATCCACTGGCTGGCAGGTGCCAGGTGGACTTGCAATGGAATGCCGGGATCCCAGAGCAGGGATAGGGGACAGCACCAGTGTTTGCTCGGTGCTTTTCCTTGCCAAGTGCCACTTCAGCACCAGCTGTTCCTGGAGCACACCCAGCTTGGCCAAACTGGCACCCATGGGTGACACAGCCAGGCGCAGATTAGGGTGCACTGGCTCACATGGTGCCCAGGCATGGGGTGATGCAGGCTCAGCCAGCTTGGCTGGAGATGCCACTGTGGCTGTTCTGCCCATCCTGGTGGCTCCAGTCCCCAGGGCTGGCTGGTGACAGCGGCAGCACCACATTGTGCTGGGTCTCCCTCTGCTGCTCTCCCTGCTGGAGCATTAGGAAGCTGGCAGCGTATTGTTTGATGAGTGGATAATCCGCTGAATTGCAAACAGCTTTACCCAATTGAAGAGGCGGATTACCGCTCTCCAGCTTAATCATGTTGACATCTCGGAGAGTAGCCAGTGCTTGTCCTCTTTGGCGCGTGGCTCGGTGGCAGCGCGGGATCCCCCAGTGCCACGGGGCTGGGGGGCAGGACCTGGGCTGTGGTGACACAGCCAGCCACGACCCTCACTGCTGTGCCTTCCCACAGGTTCACGGGCGCAGAGGCCGTGGTGATGGGTGATGTGACCTACGGCGCGTGCTGCGTGGACGACTACACGGCCCGGGCCTTGGGCGCTGACTTCTTGGTGCACTATGGACACAGCTGCCTAAGTAGGTGACACTCAGCCCCGTGGCACTGCCAGGGTGGCCGTACATGGCACTGCAGAGGCTGTGCTGTGCCACTGTGCCCGCCCTGCTCAGCACCAGCTCAGAGACTTAGTGCCAAGGGCTTATCCCTTCCCAGAGGGATTTCTGTTCTCCAGCCTCATCTGCTGGCTTTGCATTGGGCCAGGCTGGCTGAGTGGCTGCCTGTGGGCAGGATTTTGGGCGCAGCAGGGCGTGCTCGGCCGCCGCAGCGCACAGATCGCAGCCCTGTGCCCAAGAGCAGAGCAGCAGGGCCATGGCTTGGCAGGACCCCACTGGCTCAGGAGCTGCCAAGGGGGATGAGGCTGCTCTTGCCCCCCCACCCTACCTCCGTGGGCTTTGGGGGAAGTCAGGAATGATGGCAGAGGGGAGTGAGGGCCTGGGGGTCCCACTGGCCTCGGGGCTGGGGAAGGGAGCTTTGCCGGTACAGCGCAGGCTGGGCGGGGAAGGGAGGAGGAGGCTGTGTGCTCCCCAGGCGGACAGTACTCTGGATCCAGTTGCCATGGAAACTGTGCTGCTGTCCCAGATGCTGCTAACTTTGAAGTCCACCCAGGATGGAATCAGCCCAAAAATAACAATAAGACGCTCTGGGTTTTAAGGTGGATCTGCAGAATTGCCGTAGCGAGCGGCAGGAGCGTGCATCCCTGCTGCTGCCATGCTCCCGGCAGCTGGCAGCCCTCCTGGACGTTTATGGGGTCGTATAAATGGATTTGAAGAATTGCATCAGGCTCCGTGTGAAATACTGACTCCCCAGTTGAGAACTCTGTCCTAAAAGCCACGTCGGTGAGAGTGTTGGTGGCGATAAATATCTGTGCTTGGTGCTTTGTTATGGAAGGAGGGTTATGGGCACCACTGGAACAGGGAGTATAAAACTCCTGGTTTGTATCCTGCTGCTCATGAATGAACAATACGAAGGGGAGGAAGGGACTGTATCCATTGGGCTGCTCTGGGAAATGGGAGTCACATCTTCTGGAACTGCTCCCTACAGGGACAGGCAGGCACTGCCCAGGCTGACTGTCACCAGCCCAGCTGCCATCTGCTTGCCTTCACTGGGCTGGGTGGGTCACAGGGCACCCACAGGGTGCTGGGGGGGTGCTAGACTCCTTCTGGGCTGCTCCCAATGCTCCTGTCACCGGCGTGGCTGATGGTAGGACACACAGACACTTTCCTGCTCCCTCCCAGCCCCACGTGCCCCGCAGGAGGGAGTAATTTGCACTTAATTGTGATCAGGTGAAGAGCACCAAAATGGGAAGTGAATGCGGAGCTGCGGATCGATGTGGACTCTGTGTACTTTAATTATTCACTTAATCGTAGTGACAAAGGCTTCTTAGCACCGGGGGTAATTAGATTTGTGTTCATTGATTCCCCAGGCTGCCATTATCCAGAAAGAAACAAGCAGGTGCTCTCCATGGATCCCATCTACACCCCCTGCCCAGGGTGCCAGCACAGGCAGTGCGGTGGCACAGCCCACCCTGCCCACACCAGGGCAGTTGGGGTGCAGGGAGCCCCACCAACACACTTTATCCTCCAGGCAGCAACAGTCTGGGGCTCACTGGAGCCCTGGGTGTAGCCCAAACTCACACCCTCTCTCCTCCTGTCACCAGTTCCCATCAACTCCACTCAGGGGCTGAAGATGCTCTATGTGTTTGTGGACATAAAGATCGATGCATCCCATTTCCTTGAGACCATTCGCTTCAACTTCGTGGCAGGTGCCTCCCTGGCCCTCGTCAGCACCATCCAGTTTGTCTCCACGCTGCAGGTGAGATGGAGATCCCTGGCAGTGCGTGGCACAGGATGGGGCCTTTGTCTGCCCCTGCCTTGGCCCCTGGCTTAGTCCTTTTCTGTCCCAGCTCCGGGGTGGGAGTGGCTGCCCCGGGGTGCCGGTGGTGCCGGTTCCCCTCTGACGAGTCGCTGCAATAATATGCTGCTACTGTAATGTTGATCAAGTACTTTATAATAACTCTGATCAATGTTTCATGGCGGCACCCCTCCCCAGCTCCCCCAGGAGCTGCTCTGTAAATGTCAGGGCAGGCAGTGGAGCACTTGGCATTTTGATGCAGTGCCGGCAGCGGCCGGGGAAGCTCCGGCGGGTCTGTCTGTCTGCCCCTGAACGGCCGGCTGGGCAGGACGGGAGGAGATGAATGAGCCTCTTGAGCCATGTCTATCTAAACACGGGGCTATCCAAGCGTTAAGCCTTTTCCCTTGTCTTTTAATTGATACATTTGTTGAGCTTCGCTGAGCATCCCGGTTTGCGGGGCTGTTACTGGTGCCACCCCCAGCAGGCTGGTTCCCTTCCTCTGTTCTGTGCTGGGATGCAACAGCTGGGACTGCCGGGGCCAGGGTGTTTCCAAGGGTCTTTTGCCACCCTCTGTGCCGTGGTCTGTCCCTGCTAACCTCACCTCTCCTGCAGGCAGCGTCACAGGAGCTGCGCTCCCAGTACAAGGTGTGTGTGCCCCAGTGTAAGCCACTGTCCCCAGGAGAGATCCTGGGCTGCACATCGCCCCGGCTCGCCAAGGACACGGATGCCATTGTGTAAGTACCTGGAGTCTTCCAGGACTCTCCTACCTGGCCCAGGCTGCCCAACCTTCTTGTACCCCCTGCCCAGCTTTGGGCAGGGGGGTGGGAGGGGAGATCCACAGGCTGGGACAGGCCCCCTCCAGCTCCTCACGCTGCTTTAAGTGGCGTGTGCTTGTAGCACAGAGGAAATAATTGAGTCGTATATCAGAATAGATAATAGATGGAAGGGCGGGTGGATAATTGGAAAAGACAAATGGCCGGGGCCCAACATCACAGCAACATTAATTTTATTTAAGGACAGCAAATTAGAGGGAGCACTTCGCTTCCTATCACCTAATTATTTTAGGTAATGGAAATGCTTAATGTACTGTGGATACAGTGTGCTGCAGAATAAATAAATACAAGGACCCCACCCTTGGAGGGAGCCGGGGAGCCCAGGTGTGGGTTTGGGCCCTGAAGAGCTCCTTCTCACCCGCGCTGCTGGGAGCCTTTCTGAGCACGACTGTGCAGGGAAACAAGCTTGTGATTGCTGGACAATCACAGTGGGAGCTCTGGCTTCACCTTGAGCCACACCAGCTCTGCTTGCCATCTCTCCAAGGGCATCAGGAGCAGGAAAGGGTGGCCAGGCTGGCATTGCATTGGCGAGAGCGTGTCCTTCCCACTGCCAGAGGAGCGGCGGTGCGGTACCAGCCGGCCGCCTTACCTGCGTCCTCCCTGCGTTATTATTTTCTTCTGTGCACCGTCTCTGGGGCTAACTTTTGCAGACAAATTAGCTTTGATCTCCCAAAATGTCATTCTCCAATTAAGGGCAAAATCTAGTCAAGTTTTACGTCTGAATTCATTTTCCAAGCCCTCACTCCATTAGGGCAGCTGAATGAAAGGCTTTGAAATGTAATTGCTGACTTGAAATCCGATTAGAAATGGAAGCAGCAACGTCTAGAACCAGCCATTGAGATGGAGCAGCTCCCAGCCACCCCGTGCCTGGGTGAGCATCCCTCTTTGCTCTGAGCATGGCTGCTCTCCTGCCGCACCGTGCTGGGGGCTGCACAGAGACAGGGAGCCCTGGCTGTGCCTGCTGTCCCTGGGCCCCACCACAGGAGCTTGGATTCCTGCCATCTCCACACACCTGTGGCTTGGGAAACTGTGGACACATGGATGGGTGCCTCTGTTTGCCATGTGCTGTAGCTCCCCCTCCCCTCTCCGCAGGTATTTAGGTGACGGGCGCTTCCACCTGGAGTCCATCATGATTGCCAACCCGGGGATACCTGCATACAGGTATGGGCACCCACTCCAATCCCCCATGGGTGTGAGTGGGTGGGGAGCACCCCAACTCCCCCAGCACACCGGGGACCAGCTGTCCCCACCCTGCATGCCAGGAGCACCCCCTACCCCATGGCTGGGCAGGCAGCTGCCTGCAGCAGGCACAGGCAGGTGAGAGGCCGCAGGGTGGGTGAGGAGGTGCAGCGGGGAGATGAACACGAGCCATTTACTCTGCCTGAATATAAACATTTTGACAAGTACCTGTGAAAGCTCGTGGAGGTGCAGCCATTAAGGCCCGGCTGCTGCAGGCAGAGGCCATAAAGCGCGATGATGAGGCGGCTGAAAGCAGATGAAATATCAGGAGTGAAAGGCTGGGCCCATTTGGCGGAATCTGAATTTCCTAGTAGGTCGTTTGTTACGAACGGGAGGCGCACGTCAGGTTTATGGCGCTGGTGAAGCTGCCGAAACCCGAGTGGGATTTGATTAAAATTCTCCTCGTCAAACAAAGCAACAAATCAAAGATTTCTTCATAATTGATGAGCTGGGTTGAGGGGGGAGCTGAGCACGAAGCCGAGCGCAGAGCCCAGGCTGTGCTGGGTGTTGGGGTGCTGTGGTGGGACACTTGTCCCTATCCTTGTCCCCTAATGAGCTGGTCCTACATCAGCCAGGAGGACAGATGCTGTAGGAGGCAATTAGTGCTAATGAGAGACGGGCATCATTTGGGGCCAGTATGGACGGGGGGCAGGTGTTGGGGCGCGTGTGAGCCTGGCTGTGCTTTGCAGGTATGACCCCTACAGCAAGGTGTTCTCCCAGGAGCACTACAGCCACGAGCGCATGCACCGCGCTCGGCAGGATGCCATCCGCGCTGCCACCACTGCCCGCTGCTGGGGGCTCATCCTGGGCACACTGGGGCGTCAGGGCTCCCCCAAAATCCTGCAGGTACCAGCCCCCTCCTCCGCATGGCCCCTGCTGGGGCACTGGGTGCTGCTGCTGGGTGGGGGTAAGGACTGGTGAGCAATGACACCACTGGCACAGTGCCCTTGCTGCTGGGGCGAGGGTGGACCTGGCACCACTGGCAACCCATCACTGGCCACTGGCCCCCAAGCTAAGCGAGCAGGGCAATTAGCAGCAGATGAGGGAGGCCGGACAAGGGCTCATTAAACCTGCCCCTTGCTGAGGAGAGCTGGCCAGTCTTGGAGACCATCCCCTCCTGCTCAGACAGTTGGCAATTAATTCCCTGCGTTTGTTTTAATTGGATGAACTTCTGATCAGGTTCACCATCCCTGCTCAGCTGCTGTGCTGGTGCTTTCTGCACCCCAGCTGGGTGAGGGGAGCAGGACAACAGTATCCTGCTCCATGGGCGTGGGGTGCCCTGCTCACACCTAGAAATTTTGGGGTAGCTGCAAGTGAGATTTGGGGTAGTGAAGGGACCAGTGGGCAGAGCAGGGCATCAAGGTCCTGCAGCTGCTGTTCTGTGGGGGCAGGACGTGGGCATGGCCAGGGCTGGCTGGGCAGGGGACATTGAGTGGCAGCTCCAATGGACAAGGACATCCCTGACCCCTCTTCTCCTCCTGCAGGCTCTGGCCACAGCCAGCCCACGGCAGGCGGGTGTCCCAGGGCAGGCAGCCGCTAACGAGAACAGATTGTTGTCATTGAGCAGTAATTACTTCATTAGGCTGAGGCACGTGCTGGGGAGAGCTGGAGCCACAGCCGCAGTCCCTGACACTGTGCCTGGCCTGCGACTGCCAAGGGGACACGGCCGTGGGGCAGAGCTGGGACCCACAAAGGGTCTGATGGACAGGAAGGGACAGTGGGCAGGGCTTGTGGGGCTTGATGGGGGTCCCTAATTCCCCCGAATGCCTTTTCCCCCCGGCAGCACCTGGAGTCACGTCTCCGTGCCCTGGGCCGGCCCTATGTGCGGGTGCTGCTGTCTGAGATCTTCCCCAGCAAGTTGCAGCTCTTCCCAGATGTGGATGCGTAAGTGCTGCTGACCCCTCCTCCAGCCCCCTACATGGGGTCCCCAGGGTGCCCCATCCCTCTCCAGGCCTCTGAGTCCTGCGTGAAGCCATCCCTGCCACATCTGTCCTTCTGTCACCTGGGTTAGCACTGTGCGCTCCTGCACAAGCTGTGCCCACGGGGCAGGGAGGGGGCATGGCTGTCCTTACCAGGGTGGCTCTGGCACAGCACAGACCTTCTGGGGTGCCACTGACGGGCTTCACTGTGGCTTGTTCTTCCCAAAATGCTCATCCCCATTGTTGTCACCTGTGTCCCTTCCAGGTGGGTGCAGGTAGCCTGTCCCCGGCTCTCCATTGACTGGGGAGAAGCCTTCAGCAAGCCCCTGCTGACACCCTACGAGGTGAGCACCTTGCTCTTGTTTTTTGGGGGGGCAGTCCTGGCTTGGGGCAGGCTTGGGGATGTCCCTGCAGCCAGGCAGCATCCCTTCCTGTCTCCATATGTGTTCCTTGCACAATCCAGGCAGGCTGCTGGGATATCCAGTCTCTTGTGAAACCAGTGGATTCCCTGTGCCTCGAGCTTTTGCTCCAGCAATGCCCTGCTCGGCACACCAAGCCACTGTGCTGGGACCTCTCCCAGCACTGCCAGCCTCCCCATCACAGTCACGGCTCCCCGTCCCCTCCACAGGCTGCGGTGGCTCTCCAGGACATCGAGTGGCAGCAGCCTTATCCCATGGACTTCTACGCCAGCCAGTCCCTGGGGCCGTGGACGGCGAACCACGGCGGCACACAGCCCCCGCGCCGCGGGCGGCCGGCACAGGTGGGCGGCGGGGGGGTCACCGGGGCAGCGGGTCCCTTCTCTCTCGGTGTCGGGGACGGGCGGGGGGAGCAGCGCCCGGTGCAGTTTGGTGGCCGGTGCCGCGTGCCAAAAGCGCCACCGCGTGGCTTCGTTCCCGGAGAACAGGAACGGGGCCGTTGCCAGCCTGGCTTGCGGGGGCTACCAGAGCCCCCCTCCCAGTATTTGCCGGGCTGAGCGCCCGCCTGGTCCCACGGCTCCCAGGGGTGGGGGTCCGGTCCCCCCAAAGTGCCCCGCGGGGTGCTGTGGGCTGAGCACGGGCTGGCTCATCGCAGGTCAGGCAGGGAATGGGAACATCCCTTTACCTTCCCTTAACCCCTTTTCATTGCAGGAGAAGCCACCCGACCCCCCCGCCCCGCCGGAGGGTGGGGAGAATCCAAGCACCGGGGACCCCGCAGCCTCGTGAGGGCAGCCTGCACCCGGTCCTGCAGCCGCCGCGCTCCGGGACCCGGCGTGGGCAGGGCCGGGGGGGGCGCAGGCGCTGCCTCCCGCCAGGGTAAGCACCACCGGGGCACTCCTCCGGTACCTGCGCTGGAATGGATGCGGACGCACCCCGTAACTCGACGACACCGCTGCCCGCACGGACCGCCCCGTCTGCCCGCGGGGAGTGACTCCCTGCAAGGCCAGGCCGTGCTGCAGCCCCAGTAGCACCGGGGGTCCCGTCCCGACACTTCGGGACCGCCCCGTCTTCCCCTGCTCTGCGGCCTCCCGCCGCCAGGGGGCGCGCTGCCACCTCCGCGGCGCCGCTCCGCCCTCTCTCCTGCCCCGGCCAATCAGCGCGCGGCGTTTCGGCGGGAAGGCGGAAGCGGCGCTCCCAGTGTCGGCGGCCATGGCGGCGGAGGCGCGGCCGCTGCGGCTGCTGGCGCTGCACGGGTACCGGCAGAGCGCCCGCCGCCTCTGCCAGCGCACCGGCGCGCTCCGCAAGGCCCTGCGCGGCCGCGCAGAGCTGCTTCCCATCGACGCTCCGCACCCCGTGTCCTCCGCCGCCGCCCAGGACGACCCCGACGGGGACGACCCGCCCCGCGGCTGGTGGTTCTCGGGGCCCGGCACGTTCGAGGCGGGCGAGGTGGCGGCGGCGCCGGAGGGGCTGGAGGAGTCTCTGTCGGTCGTGGCGGCGGCGCTGGCGGAGCAGGGACCGTTCGACGGGCTGCTGGGGTTCAGCCAGGGCGCGGCGCTGGCCGCCATGGTGTGCGCGCTGCGGGCCCGCGGCGACCCGCGCTTCCCCGTGGCCTTCGCCGTGCTGGTGGCCGGGTTCGCCAGCCGCGCCCCGGCGCACGGGCACTTCTACCGCGACCCCATCGCCCTCCCCACGCTGCACGTCGTGGGGGACACGGACGCCGTGATCGCGGCCCCGCTCAGCGTGGAGCTGGCCCGATGCTTCGTGGAGCCGGTGGTGCTCGCCCACCCTGGCGGACACTTCATCCCCGCGGCTGCGGCGCAGAAGAAAGCCTACCTGGAATTCTTGGAACGCTTCCGACCCGGGCAGGGGCAGGCCGAGCCCCCAGGGGTTGGGGAGGTTTCAGAACGGTCTATGTAATAAAGGGGGCTCTGGTGACCCACGACTGTTTCGGTGCCCCCAGAGTCATCAGCAGCTCCCTGCACCACTGTGCTCTGCAGTGTTCACCCAGGGCCCAGCTAAATGGTTCTTTATCTCCCTTTTTATTTCAGCTTTGTTGTATACATGAGTATATAATATATAAATAACATATAATCATATATGTATATAAAATTATATACATATGTGTGTATATGACATTGTATGAGATGTAGTGTGACTCTGAGAGGATTGAGGGCAGGAGGGTGACACTGCTCTGTGTGTGAAGTGCTTCCAGAGACTTGAGTAGCTGCTCAAAATCAGGGTCCCTCAGCTCAGCCACAGGAAGTGTCTGTAGATCACAGAGCTCCTGCAGCTGTTACCCCCCCAAAATTTGCAGGTTTTAATATCTATTAAGCCAAGCTTCCAGCTGGTCTGGATCTGGAAAACCCTCTCACCCCTGGCTGGTGTTTGTTTCAAGAGTGAAGTGTCTGCTGGTTCAGTACATGTGTTGAATCTTCCCTGTACAAAGTGCCTCCATGAACAAGAAAAACTTGTCACTCAATTTCTGGCTCTGATAATATTTTCCAGGAGCACATGGGAACCTTTATTGCTGTTACAGGTGAAGGTGCCCTGCTTGGCTGCTGCCCAGTGCAGTGCTGGAGCAGGTTGGGCACCAGCGTCAGGCCAGGGCTGTGCTTCGAGGTCTTCTCTAATCACAGCTTTCCTTAGGGGTTTATGGTTGGCAAAAGAGAGAAATCGGGTGTAAATTCTTCATTTCCCCCCTGCCTGAGCAGCAGGGCAGCACAGTGTCATCCATGCAAGGGCCAGAGGACAACAGGAGCAGGCAGAGGGGCAGGGGCTGAAGCCCTTCCCGTGTTCCCTCAGCTGAAAACAGGCCTGGGAGCTGCCATGGGTTAAACCAACGCAGCAGAAATGAGTGGTTCTCAGCCCTGGGAGGTTTTTACCTTTTGGTTTGTTGCTGGTTACTCAGCAGCACAATGGTGGTGGTGTCAGGAGGATGAGGCAGTTCCTCTGCAGCCCAGCTCCAGGCTGGTGTCCTGGGGGTGTTGTGGGGGGAGTTTGGGCAGTGGTGGCCGGCTTGGCCACTTCAGCTGGGCTTGTGTCACAGCTCATTTTAAGGTGTGGGATGTCTGCACTCCTTGGTGACCACATTGGAGAGGCTGTTTTTAGGGGAGGGCTGCAGCAGCAGCAGCTCCGGCCGAACACGGCGACCAGCTGCGACAAAGCAGCGGCGCTTTTGTCTCTGCTCTGCCCCCTCAGCCCTGGGCAGCCGTGGAGGGACGCGCTCGTCAAGCCCGCCCGTAGCTCTTTAATTACCGCCGAGCTCCGGCCCCGCGGCGATCGCCCGGCGCGGCGGAGGCACCGCAGCCATGGCCGCCCGCCCGCACTGCGGCCCCGCACCGCCGACCCCCGGCAGCTCCCGGGCACAGGGAGGCACTTGGCAGCTCGCTGGCGGCGGGATGGGGAAGGAGCCCAGGGTGCGGTGAGTGAGCAGCACGGTGCGGGCTCTGCGGGCGGCTCCCTCGGGTGGGCTGGGGAGGGAAGGGTGACCCGAGCTGGGGTGCTGCAGTACCTGCCTCTCTCTTCCCAGGGTCTGCTTAAAGATGGCTCCTGCCGGTTGGCTCCTGTACCGGGTTAAAATAAACTAATAAAAAGAGAGAAACGCGACCCTCGTCCGCGAGAGGTGCCTGTGTGAGCAGCGGAGGGAGGTCCTGCTGGGCCCCGGTGTGATGGGAGGAGGGAAGCGGCTCCCGCGGCTGTCACTGCGTGTCCCTGCCGGACGGAGGGGTTTGCCCTGGGAATCCTTCCCTCTCCCTCCTTTTCTGCTGGCAAGATGCCCTCGGGCTGGCCTGTGCCTCTCTTGCAGATCCAAGTCTGTCCTTGGGATGCAGCCACACTGCTCAGCTGCCTGGAGACAAGACTGACTGATGTCCACCCATCCCTCATTCACTTTGCTGTTGGGGGGGTTTCCTCTTCTCCCACCTGCCCAGGGGAGTCGGTTTTTCCCCCAAAACAGTCTGGAGCAGTTGCTGTTGCTGCATGAGGGGGTAATGGAGCGAGCCCAGGCTCTGGGTGGCAGCCATGCCACTGGCTTGGGACAAGGGGGCCCTGGGGACAGCCACTGGTGTTACCCAGCAGCACTGGGAGCCTGGATGTTTTGGCAGGGGGAATGTCATCCCTCTTCTCCCTAGGTGGGCCCTTTCCATACCCCAACACAACCATCGGAGTCACCTGGTTGACCCCAGGGATAGGCCCTGCCTATGGCCCTGCTTGTGAGGAGCCTGCTTGTGAGGAGCCTGCCGTGGCCACAGAGGGCTGTGACTGGGCAGGGAAGAGCTTTGCTCCCCCCTCCCGGGTGAGCAGAGCCCCCAGCCCTCTCCCAGCATCCCAGGGAGGGTGGGAGAAGACCAGTACAAGCAGAGACTCTGCCAGCACTGCTGCCTCCCCACAAACTCCCACCACCTCTTCCTCAGCTCTCTGCACCCCGTCCCCCCGTGTCACCATCAACTCGGGGTCTCCTCCACTGCCCACCTTGCCATCACCCACATGGGGCACACCAGGCACAGGCAGAGGCTCCTGTGGGCAGCACTGGAGAAAGAGACATCCCACCAAGCCTGGCACTGGGTGCGGATCGTGGCAGGGTTTGAGCCTTACTCATCTCACGCTCTTCCTCCCATCTCCACCAGCAGGGCCTGGCGCTGGCGCGGGGAGGGGGTGCCTTGGGAGAGTGATGTGTTTTGCAGACTCTCATACAATGCAGTTTCCCCCAAAGCTGCCTGGCTCCTGCCTGTGAGGAGGCAGCAGCACGGGCAGGGGAGAGCCAGGGGCCAGCCCCAGGCCCTGCTGCCGGAGCAGGACCAAGCCGCTGGGAACAGCCCCCCCCCTTCCCTGCTTCACCCGCAGAAGCTTCCAGTTGTGGCTGAGTCACTCCTGCTGTAGCTCCTTCTCTCCTTGTTTTGGATGGAAGTTTTCCATGGAAACCCACGCTGGGCCGGGCCGCGGGCTGGGATAAACACGGCTGAATCACAAAAGGCCGTTTCGCCAAGAGCTGTCAGATGGCAACAGCAGTGTGTGCGACCGGTGGGCAGCTGCCCGGCCTTTGGGGGGGCAGCAGCGCCTCCCCCTGCACCCCCTGCCACCCACACTGGCTCAGCCCCCCCTCCCCACCCCAGACCACCCCAAATTCCCACGGTGCCAGCATGCTTCTTGGCAAAGCCAGGAGTGGGTCACAGGCTTCAGCCAGAAGTTTTCTGGGGCCACATGCTGTCCTGGGGATGCACAGGGGAATCCCATCTGGGACAGTACCTTGGGACCCTCGCCACAGCCCGGTCGTCAGCTGTGGGGTTCTGTAGGGTCACGGCTGCTGGAGGTCCCTGAAAGACCCTTCCCACGCTCCCAGCTGTGCACAGGAACACGCACCGAAGCCACTGGGAGCGTTGCTGAGGCAAGGCAGTGTTTGTGCCCTGCCTGTGCCCTGCTGAGCACCATTCCACCGTGGAAGTGGCAAGTAACAACTCAGCCATGGCAGGGGCTGTGATCTTCCTCGGCACCATACTCCTTCCCAGCACCGCTGTGATCTCAGAGGAGCACGGGAGCTGGACGGCCTCTGTCCCTCGGCGCTCGCAGCTGGCCCCAGGCCCGGTGGCTTGGAAGCACCGTTGGAAGACAAGTCCCAGTGTCAGGAATCCAGGATATTTTTAAGGACTCTGGAAGAAAAACTAATTCCAGGGTGTCAGCGGGAGAGATTTGGCCTTCAAAACAACAATGGCGTAGCTGGAGCCTTCCCGGGCTGGAGTGTGGGGTCTGAGGGACCACAGTGCTGCCTGTGGGACATGTCCCCTCCCCCAGGGATACCCTGGAAGACACACAGGTACCACCTCACCGTGATGGAGGACAAACAAGGAAGTGTTTCCCAGGGGATGCAGGGTGGTTTCCTGGGGGATGGGGGGCAGCACCTTTGCAGCGCGGATGTGCCAAACGCAGCTGCAGCTTTACCTGAGTGCTGATGGGACTGCCCAAAAATCCCCTTCCTGGAGGTGTGAGGTGCATGGCCCGTCACCAGCAGCAGTGATGGGAAAAGCAGGAGTCAAAGGGGATAGGCAGGAGATGGGGCAGTGCACAGTGGGTACCTGGTACTTGAGATACTACCCTGCCCACGGCTCCCCTGCTGCACCGTGGCTCTGCTGGCCCCAGGGACCTGGTGGTGGCTTGTGCCCATCTGGGTGAGGGCAGAGGTGCATGACCCCATGGGTGGGTAAGGTGCTTCTCTGGAGAGAAGGAATGTGGGCAGAGGACCCTGTGTGGCCCCTATGCAGTTTAGGTGGGACACCCACGGGAGCTCCATGCTGGAGCTGCACCCCAGGACCAGAGGTTCTGATTTGGGGGCTCTCTCTGTCCTCTTGGCGCTGCCGTTGTCACCCACTCGTGCCTGACCCCCCTATTCCCGGTGTCCCCACGGGATTAGGCATCCTACTTCTCCTCCGGAGTCTCTGTGGTCATTACGCCCCTTCCAGCCGCCTCTGTCCCCATCTCCGAGGCTGTAGGTCCGCGGTGCCCCCCGAGAGGGGCCCTGCCCGGCCGGCACCGGTCGCCGCCGGCTGCTGAGGGCCCGGTGCCCGGTGTCGGGGCAGGCCGGGCCGCTCTGACTTCGCCGCTCAGGAATCTCCTGGCCGCGACGGGCGGGTTGTGCAACCTGCGACCGCCCCCGGCCTCCCCCGCCCCGGCCCCGCGGGCCGCGCTCAGTCCGCGCCGCGCCGGCCCCGCCGCCGACCCCGCCGCCGACCCCGCTGCGCTCCGCGAACGTCCCGTGCTCCTCCCGCACACCGGCGGAGGGACAGGGGGGCACGGGAGGGCGGGACGGGACCGCGGCTGCCGAGCGCACAGATGCGGCGGGATGAGCCCGGCGGGGGCGGCCCCGCCGGGAGGGCAGGTGAGGGGCTGCGGGGCGGGGGGCAGGATGGGGGGATCAGAGGGGGGGTCCCCACCGTTCCCACTGCCCGAGGAGGAGCCATTCGGCGCCCGCCCCCCCGAACAGTAAGAGTTGATGTGCGGCGAGCTGCATCCTGCATGTGAGCTCCTACTGCCCCGGGAGGCGGGCCGCCCCCGACGGGACCCCCGCCGCCCCGCCTCCGCCGCCTCGGGGACCCCCGAGGGTGGGGCCGGGGGGGAAAGCCAGAGCTGCCCGCGCTGCGAGTCCGCCTGTCCCGGCGACCATGGCTGTAGACTGTTACCCCCCCAGCGGCACAGTAACAATCTAAAGCCACGGTCGCCCGGGCGGCGTCGGAGGGGGGGGTACCGAGAGGGGTTGGGGGGCAGCCGGTGCCTTGGCGACGGCGAGGAGGCGGCTCCGCCACCGCACCGGCGGCACGGGGCGGGGGGGCCTGGTGCTTGGGGGGTGGAATGTCGCTAGCATCGGCAGCATCGGTAGCATCCACCCACGCCCCTCCCCGCCCCCTGCCCTCCCACACGTGTCCACCCCGCCGGGGAGTCCCCCCCTACCTGGGCTGCAGCGGGAAGGCGGGGGGGCGTCCGCCGTGGG